AAAGTCTTGTGAGAAAAAAATTTAAAGGCTGCAAGAATATATATCAAAATATTAATAATGCTGATCTCTAAGTGGTGGAATTATGTGTTTAACCAGAAAGGCAAAGAAAACTTTTTTCTACAATGCTTATTTTATTACCGGCAAAATAATAAAATAACATAATATTTTCAAATAAATAAAGTACTTAAAATGCCAAAAAGCTGGTGATCAAAATTAGGACAGATTTTTTTTTTTTCTGTAAAGAATCTCTTCTGATACCTTCAAGTGTTTTAAATTATTCATAGCTAAAAGCCTGAAGTAAACTCATAGGAGGATTAAGCTGCAAGAGATTTTCCCATTTTATCTCCCATTTTCAATTCTCCATGGAATAAAATATATTCTTGGACTTAAAGAAAAACTGACATTGAAGGTTTAGTTTCTAGAACTTAAGGGCAGGTCACAGGTCCTATAACAAGTAAAGAATGAGAGAAAGAAAAGACCGAGCGTAGAGCGCCATGAGCAGAGCACAGAGAGTTCTTCACTTTAATATGCAAAGTGTACAGGAAGAATCTTTGATGCATGAGGCAGCATTTTCAATAGACAACATCTGAAGGTGGCAAATACTTCTTGAGACCCAAAAAACTGACTTCTAGGTAAGGAAAGAAAATGTTTTTAAGATGACAATGGTGCTCTATATACCTTATATCCTCAACAGATGCTCCTTGATTTGAAAATAAACAGCAAACATTTTTTCATTTTCCTTCTGATGGATATACATAATTTAAATGTAGTAGAATTAAACATCTAAAAAGAAACTATTTAAAATATACTACAAATCTAGGTTATAAAAAGTGTATTTAGTGGCCTAAATATGTAACAGAATACAAATCCTGTGCATAGGGAACAGGTGGTATGCCAAAAAAAATCTACTTGTAAACAGATATATGGAATTCAGAATGCATTTTCCCATAGAAACATTGTTACAGTGGTGGATAATTCCCAGTTTCCTCCACAATGCTTATTTAGTTGTTAGTGAGAAACATTTATCCCACATCTGAGTTTTATGTGAATGGTACTGGTGGTCTAAGTGAAGACACCCAAAATGCTAGGGGAATAAGTATGGCTCTTTCACTCAGAGCTGAAGCCTCTCAGCTGAGTCCCTTTCCATAAAGGTTTCCACGTAAAGAGATGCCATCCTCAAGGTCATACTCTCTTCCTTGGGGTAGCCCAAGTCCAAATGACCAGTCCACTGGGAGTCAGGGGAGAGTGTAGAAGAAGGCCCTGCCCCTATTATTTAAGGTGAGATAACTCTGAAAGGCCATCCCACCTCCAGAGCTCCCCAAGAGAGGATCAGCTGGGGTCTCTGTTACAGAAGCATCACAGTTCAACTCCTGCCTCTGCCCAATCCTGCTTCCTTCCCTCCTCCACTAGGAATGATGCTAAGAGCACCCTCCAGTAAACCTCCAGCACATGTATCTCTGCTCACACTATCTCCAGGATCTAAGACAAATAGCTAACACTTCATAAGCTGGTAGTGTAAGTTAGACACTGTTCTAATGTATGCAATCTATTTATTTTAAATATATTTACTAGATAGATATATTTTACTACATCTGTATGAGTAAGTACACTAATCCCATTTTACATAAGCAGAAACAAAGGTTCAGAAAAGCTAAATGACTTGCCCAAGGTCATGTGGCAAGTAATTTGAGGAGCCAAGATTTGAATCTAGGTCCACCAAATGCAAAGCCAATCACTATGTAAATGAACTCCATCTGTAGAAACAGTTCCATGAATTAAGGCAGACTACAGCCCACAGGTTCTGGTGGCAAGTCAGGAATGAGTGGAGTGATGAACCATGGTCATCCAATAACGGGAATTTATAAAAGTACTTACGATCCAGGCCCATCGAAAACTAGATATACTATAATCAGGGTTTCAAATATTTTTAGGCCTGAAGCAAAATGTAGAGGCCTAATGGAACCACCATGAATCTACGTATCTACCTTTTGATTATTAGATTCTAAATATAACCATTGGCAATCTTGTCTACCTACAGTGAAAATGCAAACAATATGGGCAGACAGATGTTTACCATGTAGGAAGAGGATGGAGTGCTCTTTTACTCCAATCCCTGAAAAAAAGCCTCATAAACTAGTATCTAATAAATTTCTTATTAGAGGTACGGTATCCTTATAATTAATAGTAACTTAAGATACATAACTGCAACCAGTTCAACTTCTTCAACTACAACTATACCATAGCTTCCCCAAGCTCTCCCTAGCTAGTCATATTCTTTTATAGAGTATTTGTTTATGCTCACTAGACAAACTGAACAGCTAAGAGCTAATATTGCCCTGCCCTGGTGGCCACACCGCCCAAGAGCTACAAGACACAAAACCATTCTATAAACTCCAAACAACTGCAAATAAACACTATTAATTTTAACTGAAATCATTAAGTTTGCATGTTTGCAGATATAGATAGCTGACTTGAACAGTGAAAACAAACTATTCAAAAGTTTTCAAAGAATACTAAGTACCTCCTTTCTGGGAATAATTACTTGATTTGTTTGCAATATTCATAATTACAAAATCTAATGTCACAGTTAAGTAAAAAACTGAAATACACTTAAAATGCTACTAATAATAATGTTAACACTAAAAATTCAAACGCTGGTCCTTAGTTAATTTTGAAGGTTTATACATCTCCAATTCCTGAAAAAAAGCCTCATAAACTAGTATCTAATAAATCTCTTATTAGAGGTACAATATCCTTATAATTAACAGTAACTTAAGATACATAACTGCAACCAGTTCAATTGTAATTATGAATATTGCGCCTTCCTTTAAAAATTTACCAATAATACCTCTCCCACACCTCCCCCTTATAAAGTATAGCTTTAAAGAGCCAAACAGAAACAAAGGGATGTGTAATTTCCTTATTCATTGATCTTGCACACAGGAGTCCTCAGCATCCAAGTTCAGTTATCATTAACTGCAGAATTGCAGTGAGGGGTTCTTCAAATTAAGGTGAATCATTCACGAAGACTTCACACAATGTCAGAATCAAGAACTGGGCATCATAAAATTTGGCTCACCCCTCTTGATGTAAGTTGTATTCTCTGATCTTGACTATGGGAATTTGGGCCCATTCCTTTTTCTCCCCCACTTTCGCTTGATAAAATAAGCTCCTAATCAGAAACATAGCATCACAGACATACACTTGCTGTGCTGCTAAATATTCTTGAGTTGGCCACTTCAGAGAATAACCCTTACCCAGTTTGATATGTACAAACTAGAAAGTACAAGTACCCTAAGAAAAAAATTTCCTCAGGCCACCCTAAAGTGGTCTAATCTTTTGGAGCAAGAAAAAAAGGAAAGGGCAAACTTGAAGCTTCACACAGGCCAAAGAAAAAGCGGGCAGAGCAAACCAAAACCACCACCAGAACGGGAAGGCAAGCTCCCTGAGGACCAGGATGTCTCCTCCTGATTACCGCTGGATCCCTTAGTATTGAACACGGTACCTGTAACACTGCAGTTGGTTAATCTTTTTTGAATGAATAAATGAAAGCTGTCATCAATGTTCATGCACTCTGTGAGAAACTTTAAGCTCATTATATAAGTAACCTTTAAAATAACAAGAACTAGGAGCATAATAGGGAAGGGGCACTCCAAGCCTCTCAATAACACTAGGAGAGAGCCAGGGTAATTTATTTTCAAGTTTACAAACAAGGAAATTGAGGCTCAGAAGACTGACCTTTCCAAGATGACAAAGCTCTAAATGGCTGAGCCACAAGTCTGTCCCACCCAGAGTGTGAGCACCTTTCTCTCTGCCACATCAATACCAAAATGAAGGTTAAAGTCAGGAGAAAAACAAAAGAACCTGAAGAACACAGGCTGCCCAAAACTTGTATTCTCAAACATACTCAAATGCGACAAGTTTGTTCCTGAAAATAAATAAATGAATCTCCCTACTTCAATATTGCCGAGGCACAGCCAACGGGGCCTACAGTTCTAACAGGCTACATTCAGCCGCCTCTGTTCAGAGCACTGTGGGCTGCTTATAAGGGCAGGTGCCCTGTTTAAAAAGTGCCTCATCTACACAAAGAATGGTTTCAAAAGCTGAGGCTGTAAATTAAAAACCAGATATAAAAATTCAAATCTACCTTCATTAAAATACCTACATCGTCTTCCTGGAAAAAGTGCCTGACTAAAGGAATTCAAAGAACTGTCCAAATAAGTAAAAGTGTTTGCCCAGCACCTTATAACGAAAACCGTGTCTCTGTAGTGAGAAAACAAATCCTGTCACATCCTGGCTAGCTCTTAAGTGCCCCCTCAAAAGGGGCATTCAGGCACTACCTAAGACTATGAGGCTTCCTTCTGAAAATGTTAAGCAGAATGACACAGAGAAAGATTTTTTTTTAACTCCGGGCTGGGAACGGAAGTCAAGTTCAGATTCTCTTCCTTCCTCAAGCAAGCCAGAGAATTAAAGAGCAAACACACAGGCCCTAAATGTCTCGAGGCCTCTTCACCTGGGGCAATCGACGCAGCAAGCCTGGGTGTGCGGAGAATTAAGGATCTCCTTCTCTCAGCGGGTTACGGGCGGCCTGGGAGCATCAGGAAGAACGAACCGGTGCCTAAGTTTTCAATCGGATCATTCTTCTCAACTTGGGCGGCTCTTTCCTCCCTTCCTTCCTCCCTTCGGCCCGGCACACAAGGCGGGGCAGTGCCAGCGCGGGCAGTAGGCTGGGCCCCAGGGCAGCGCTGCCGCCGCCGGGCGCCCCTCGGAGTGTGGGTCGCGGGCTGCCCCCCGCGCGGACACTGGGCAGGGGCCGCAGATCCTTCCCCGCCGCCAGGCGTGGGGACTACGAAGGGGCAGCCGCGGCGGGGCGGAGGGGCGGGGTGAGCACTTCCTGACTCTCGCATTGTCCACGCACCACCCGCGCCACCCAGGGCCCCGCCACCGCGCCGTCCCCGTCGGGGAGGAAGTTGGCGCTCGCCCCGCCAGCCCCTTCTTACCGTTCCTAGCATCGCCCGCGGCTGCAGCCCCCGCGGCGGCCGCGGCGTTCGCGGCTCCAGTCCCCGCGCCCCCGGCGCCCGCCGCGCCCCCGGTGCCCGGCGCGCCTGCCGCCGCCGCCCCGCAGCCTGCAGCCGCCGCCGCCAGGGCCCCCCCGGCCGCCGCTCCTGCCGCGCCCGCCGCTGCCAGGGCCCCGGCTCCATTTTCCTGCTCGTCGCCGCTGCTGTTGGCGCGTTTGTTTTTGCGGCCCCCTTTGCTGTTTTTGGGGTTGGGCATCTCGCTCCCGGGCGTCCAGGTAGGTGCCCGGCGTCAACGAAGGCGGCTCCCAGCGGCGCGGCCGCTCCTGGCCCTACGTGGAGCCGGCTCCGGGAAAGAACGGAGGACGCAAGCCTGCGGTCCCTCAGCGCCCGTCTAGCCCCGCGGCCCGTGCCGCGCCATACGGGCCGCCGCGCCCTCTCCGGCTTCCTGGAGCCGGCGCGCGGCCACCCGAGGCTCGCAGCCGCGCGGGCGCCGCGGGCCCGGGGCACGAGCTAGACGCTCCCGAGCCGGAGAGAAAAGGCGGGTCTCCGGCTTGTTTTGATTCGGCTGCGCTGACACGCTCTGGGCCCACCCCGTCTCGTGACGACACTGGGGATTCAGCCTGGCCGCGCCCACCAGGTGACCTCACGGCCGGCGGCACCGCCCGCGTGACGTCACGCCATGCGCGGGGCTGGCCCACCTCGAGTGACGTCATACAGGCGTTTCCACCCCGGGCCTCCTGGGCTCCCTGGCGATCATGGCTGCTCTTGTTGACTTGCTCCACGCGCTAGTGCGGTGGCATGTGGAGTTTTTCGGTGGCCTCCTGACCTTAATGTAATTGAGGCTTAGAACAGTATGGTCTGGAAAAATAAGCTGTGTGATTAGAGCAAGAATGGAAAACAAAGGATTTTGGATTAATAACCTATTCAAAGGTTATGCCATTCAGTATCAGTAATTAAAGAAACAGGGTAAGCCGGGCGCGGTGGCCCATGCTTGTAATCCCAGCTAGTCGGGAGGCTGAGGCAGGAGAATCACTTGAACCTGGGAGGTGGAGGTTGTGGTGAGCCCAGATCGTGCCATTGCACTCCAGCCTGGGCAACAAGAGCAAAACTCTGTCTGAAAAACAAACAAAAATAACAGGGTGGAGTTCCCAGACGATGGGGATGAACAGCAGGGCCCTGAATGTGAAGATGTGAAGCCTTCACAGTCTGGTCATGAAAACAGTTCATTCAAGCAAGACCCACCAAGGATGTAGCTAGATGCCTGGACTATGAAGCAGTCCCTGCTTGGGGGGAACCCATTCCTGTGGGTAGGACTGAGTGGTCCTGAAAGATAGGTGGCCACGTTATGACAGGAGGTGATGAGGTGACACCTGTGAAGACAGGCAGTGACCTGAGGGCAGTGGACCCCTGGGAAGAGCTCCACTTGATCTCTTTCTGCAATTCTGTTCTGCCTTTTTGCCCAACTCCTTCCCTTCCCTCAGGTCTCAGCTCAGATACATCACTTCCACAGAGACCATCCCAGGAGACCTGTCAGAAGTTCCACCCTGTGGTGTACCTCCTCCATCTCTTAATTATGTGGGCAATGTACGTGTTTACTTATTTCTTGTATATCTCCCTCTCACTCAAATGAAACCTCCATAGATAGATTTTATCTGCCTTGGGCACGTCAGAGAACAGCTAGCATGAATTTGTTGAATGTATAAATTAGGTTCTTTTCCTCACGAACTGTGGAGGAAAGACTAGTTTAGCTGACAGTTTTGCAGTGTCCCCTTTTATAGTGTAATCTTTAATTCACCTCTTCAGTAAAGGCTCTGTCATGGTGGTGTCGTTACCATTAGAGAGTATTGACTGCAAATTGTCCGGTTCTTGGCGTTTTGAACAAACAGCTGGACGAAACGCCCAGCAAAGTACAGAAAGAAGAAAGCAGGGATTTACTGAGAATGAAAGGACACTCCACAATGTGGAAGCGGCCCCAGCAGTGGCTCAAGGACCCGGACACAGAATCATCTCGGGTCCAAATAACCCCTGGAGGTTTCCCACTGGCCACTTCATGCTCGCCTCAAGTAAATGAAGTGGTTGCCCACAAGGCTGAAGTGGAGTTAAAAAGGTTACACTTCTGTGCAAACATCTGATCGGTTGCAAGAAGGTGAGGGTTTGCAAAGGGAGTAGCTTCTGGCCCTTTTGTTACTTTGGTGTGGAAAATTAGGGTTTTCCTTTCAATGTATTTGTAGGAAGTGGGGGACGAAAAGGCCTTAGATTCCCTGCTTCCAGACCCTCTTCACCTGCTGCATTGTGAACTATAGAGATACAGACAGGAAAGTACAAGACACAGTACCCTCTCCACATTCAGGTAATGGAGAGGGAATTCTGACTGGGAGCTCTGGGCAACCGTAGCAGAGTGCATTACAGAGCCTGGAGCAGCAAGCAGGAGCCCTGGATAGGTTGGACTGTTTAATAGGAAAAAAATGATGAAACTTTTAATTGTCTAATATATGTTAGAAAATAGTGAGCATTTAGAAGGCCCTTATTGATGGATATTTTGTGCTTATATTTTCATGTCTATTTCTCCCCCTATCTTGAAATCCTCTAAGTGCTAAGATAGCAGGGATTGTGCCTAGCTTTCTAATGCTGCAGAGTCTAACATAAAACCTGACCCACAGTAAGTATTCAATAAAAATTTGTTGCATGGAAGATACCTAAAGCACTCTTTTTCTGGCTACATTTTTTAGAACCTTAAAGTCTCAGCTAAATCGTCAATTCTCTAGGAAATTTCTGACAACCCAAAACTAGACTTGTCTCCATACGCTCCCTGCACCTTCCTCACAACAGCTTACACACTGGGATATTGCTTTGGTGGCCACTTGGACACCAAAAATGAGGGATGAAAGAGTGAAGTCAAGAAATTCTGAAAATGAGAGGAAATGATGATGGTAGTTCATTAAAGGGAGACTTCTGAGGGAGGACAGTGGAGTTGTGGAGGAAGATAATGAGTTACTGTTGCCCATTCAGACTTAGCTTAATTTCATTATTGATACCACTAGAGGTCTTAAAATATGTTGGTGATGTTAGCTTTGGTGTTTCTTTTTTTTTTTCTTTTTCTGTTTGTTGTTGTTTTATAAGTTGTGAAGATGATGACATTTTAGGTTAGAGTACAAGAAAATTGAGATAATTATTTTCTTGAATAAGCACATTGCGATCATGCCATTGGATCAGAGTTAGTATGCATGTACCCTGCAGACAGACATTCACACCAGCTGCCTCCCACCTCTACATAACTGAGACTTAAGAATTGGAAACTTTCCACAAAAATATCCTAATTGGCTCAAAGCACCCAGACATCCAGCCAGTTGCTGTTCTGATTAATTGTGTGAGCCACCTCCTTCTATTCAAACTGAAACAAAATGAAAAGGAGGAAGGAGAAGCTTGCCACTTCTTCCATGCTCAACCTCGCTAATCTATTTTTAGCTTTAGTCAAATTTGATGGAGAGTCAATAGTTCCGATTTTATTGCTACAAAGACAATATACTAAAATTAAGTTGTTAGGAACAAAATTTAGGTGACGTTAAAGGACTTCATTTCCTATGTTCTATGTAAGGTGTGGAATTTCTCAGGAATCCTGCTGTCCTACCTCTTTTCCCACCATTTCTGAAGGTGAGAGAGAGAGAGAGAGCATACCAAAGGACAAAAGGTGGCAGGTGGCACAATGGAAACTTCCCCTCAGAAGCTTCCAGAAATATAAAGAACTCCGAAGAACTGAAGAAGCCACTCTGTTCTGTACATCTACACTTGCCTTCTAATTCTTCAATTTCCCTGATTAACTCATGCTCTGAAATAAACTTCAGAAACATTATACCTCTATCCTAGGTTTCTTTCCCCCAAACCTCACCCACCCTATCGCTCCCTTCTCTGGAAAAACAAAATAAAGCACAGCAACAAATCAAGGGCATCAAAAGCAAACAGTTTACACCTTTGAGAAAGGGGTGGGCTAATCTTCAGGGCTGAAACGGAAATAAGCAGACATTGTTTCTGTGCCCTAGTTTTGTTCATTTGACATATTGTGCCTGTCTTCAGAGCTCCTGGGGTCAGCTAAGTTTGGTTCAGGTTTAAAGTACAAAATATATGTGTTAAGGATACTTGAAGACATAGAACATAGGTAAGAACCCAAATATCAACATACACCTTGATCCAAAAAATCATATAGGAACTCAGAAGGAATTCTGCAGATAATACAGTAGTGCACACAAGAATATGTCCACAATTGAAAGGTAAGTTGAAAGGTACTAATGCCTGATCTGCCAAAAAGTCACTTCAAATAAATATACCTGGAGCAATGTATTGTCTTTATGCATCAGTTTTTTTTCCTATGGAAATAGCTTCTTCTATGGCCACAGGCTTTCTTTGAGGAATAATGACAATTGTGATTACAAAAACTTTGAAGGCCGGGTACAGTGGCTCACGCCTATAATCCCAGCACTTTGGGAGGCCGAGGTGGGTGGATCACAAGGTCAAGAGATCGAGACCATCCTGGTCAACATGGTGAAACCCCGTCTGTACTAAAAATACAAAAATTTGCTGGGCATGGTGGCGTGTGCCTGTAGTCCCAGCTACTCGGGAGGCTGAGGCAGGAGAATTGCTTGAACCCAGAAGGCGGAGGTTGCGGACAGCCAAGATCGCGCCATTGCACTCCAGCCTGGGTAACAACAGCGAAACTCCATCTCAAAAAAAAAAAAAAAAAAAAAAACTTTGAAAAAATGGAATATTAAAGCAAATAATAATATTGATTAATAAATTCCATAGACTCTCCCTTTAGGCTGTTCCTGATTACCAATATTAATAGTTTTTTCAAATATTTCCCCTTAAAATCTCTTCTCCATCCTTTAGTTGTGACTTTTGCATTATTTTCGTGATCTAGAAAAGCAGTCATAATAGAGTCAGAATTTTGTTCTCAGTGACCCCTGATCTTGCTGCTTACTCAAACCTCTGTGCCTTCCTTGCTCATACTATTGTCCTAGTTCAGCATCAATGCTGTCTGAGACCCCAGTATCCCCAAAAGGATGCTTCCTCCAAGAGATTTATTTATTTATTTTTGAGACGAATCTCACTCTATCCCCCAGGCTGGAGTGCACTGGCGCCATCTCGGCTCACTGCAACCTCTACCTCCCAGATTCAAGTGAATCTCCTGCCTCAGCCTCCCAAGTAGCTGGGATTACAGGCACCCACCACCACGCCCAGATAATTTTTGTATTTTTAGTAGAGACAGGGTTTCACCATATTGGCCAGGCTGACCTTGAACTCCTGACTTCGTGATCTGCCCACCTCAGCCTCCCAAAGTGTAATCCAAAGGATTACAGGCATGAGACACAGCTTTCAGCTTAAGAGATTTATTTTTATGTTTATTAACTTTGTTTATTTTCTGTCCTTCCACACTAGGATGTAAGTTTCAAGAGGGTGAGGATTTCTTTGTTAATCTATATCTAAAGCAGGACCTGCCATATAGTGTTTATTTAATGCATATTCATTCAATAAAATATAATGAAGAGG